TCAGCAATTGTGCACAACCCAAAGAAAATATTCTTGGTTCAAATAAATTTCATTGCGCATAATCAATTGTTGAAAGTAAAAGATCCAGTTAACAACTAAAGAGCATCAGTATGAAAATAAAATGTAACAATTTAGTTTTATGGTAATTAACATCCAGAGAAAAAATATGTACAAGATGTAAAAAACAGTATAACGAATGGATAACTTGCACGTCTCCTTTGCGCTTCGATGGGAATTCCCGTTAATTTGGCTTGCTTTCTTCGAGCAAACAAGTCAAGGTAACCAAGTGCTTGTATTGTTTCGGATATTTGTTGCGAGATGTGTCGAAAATCCAAACTCTTGGATTTGGACTAACGAGAATTGCAGCAACGAGTTAAAAATCGTGTCATCTCGACTAATCGCTCGGCAAACTATCATTTCTCTTCCCTCTTTGCTGTCCCGAAGCATCGCAGGAATGTGCATGATAAAATAGAGAGTAGGGGTAAATGACCCAATTACTGCGCACTCGATGGTAACTGAAAATAAGAAAAACAGACTGAAAATTTTGGGTGCTTGGATATTGTAACACGTAAGGACATAAATAACGTTTAATCCAGAATCATACTTTACATCATGACATTTATAATTGTTTAACTGAGTGACTCTAAACGAATCTAACCTACAAAACTTTGTAGTCGTGCGTAGTAATTGGTGCGCAGCAATTGGGTCTAGGGCTTCAGCATGAAAAGCTTATGGGAGATACCCGCGCAGTAATTGGGGGCTCAGCGACTGGTGCTAATTTTATAACCGTGCGCAGGAATACCAGCAAGGGATATCAGCACTAAAATAATTATTTAAAAAAAAAAAAAAAATACAGAAACATAAAGCATTTTTCGTTAATAAAATGATCTTTTTTATTTCAGGAATGATAGCCTAATGCAACAGTCAATTTGTTTTCTTAACATGTTACATTATTAAAAAAAATATTCACTGATCAATCTTATTACAGAGACCACCCCTGTATTGTAACTGAAACTATCTTTAGTATATATGTTTTGTACAGGCTTATTTATAATCCATCCTGTTTATTCATTTCACGCTGACAATGGAAATGCATTGAAACAGTAGGAAAATCGTGTGGGGGAAAGTAGAGGGGGAGGGGCGAAGAAATTGTGCAGAGGGACTTTCCAGTGGAAAGACAGTGAACGGCAGTGTGGGGAGAAGGGGCTGGATCCAATACTTATTGGGTTAATAGAACGTAGAAATAAGACGAGTTTTACCTTAATTTCTTGGGGGGGGCGGTGGGTGATCATTTGAAGGTGGTGAGGAGAAGTAAAAGGGCAGTGGAGAGGTTATGTAGAATGCTGCAAACAATAAACTATATAACGTAGGAGGATATATGAAAAACACAAGTAGTTGGTATTCTATATAGTTGCTTTTACTATGTTCAGTACATCCCAGTTCTCCCAGAGATGAGTAAAGAGATTGCTAACGCCAATGCTACGATGCGAGACGAGTTTTTGGCACTGATTGGAGCGCCCCGCTACGGCCAGCCGTCGAACCGGGCGCACATCTTACTACTCGTATCGGATAGCGTGCGCCTAAGGGAAGAGGAGTGGATTCGCGTGGAAATGATCATGTAGGCGCACATTTTGGAGAGACGTGGAAGGGGTATACCGAATGTGTGTCTACGAGAAGAGGAGTAGAATTATTGAATATAGCCATATATCTGAGCACACAGCCAAAGCAAGCAACGACACGAGTTTTTCTCTTTTGACTGCAACCGAGTCTATACTATATATATTTAACTAATTCTTGCTCTCTCGCTCTTGCTTGAATGTTATCTATCAATCTTACATTCGATTAAATCGTGAAACTAAATGCTCATAATTATATGCACAGAATTTGATATCAAAACATTTTTTTTTCCGTACGTTAATACTTAATTTGAAATCTAGTATTATTTTGAAAAAATGTTCAGCTTAA